GTTGAAAGATTACGACTGTCCCAATCATTTCGTTCATCATCTGCTAATTCCACTGAGCAACAGCTATTATATTCGTCGGTGACCACATATGACTGAAAGAAAAAAAAAACTTTCACAAAAAATGTAAAAAAAGTTTAGTTACTGAAATATTTTGAATGTTTAAAAATCAAATTTTAAACATAATGAATTCAAATTCTTCAAGCTTATTTTTGGTTTCAAATTTTTTATTGATGAAATATAAAGTAGAAATTTAAATTTTAATGATACAATAAAATAAATGACTTTTTACTCTCCATACACAAATAATTTGCAATTAAATAATAACTAATAATAATCAGATCAATGTTTCAAAATAATGGAATATTAGAAAACAAATATGATAAACGTCAAAAATGCTATAGCATCAATTTTAAATAATTTAAAACACTACCAACAAATTTTATTATAATTATGTTTCGAACCAACCATTCGCGAATTTAGCAAATATTTCTCGTCACGTGCAAGTAAATCAAAACGTGCTTGTTCCAGAATTGTCCAAATAAAATTCCTTCCAAGCAATCGTGCACAAACTCGATACATCATATATGAACCAACTGAAGCAACCAGTAATACACCACTTGTACGCACTAAAATTTAATTTTTCAATGGAAAATTTAAAATCTTTAAGATACTATTTAAACTTTATACCTAAGCTTTATATCCATCGAATGAGAAGTTTAGTTTAATTTTAACTTAGTTAGATTGTATTCAGTAATATCACTGTTTATAAAATTTGCAATGTTGCTGCCTAATTTTAATTTATTTACTTACAAACAAACTACCATCAATTTCAAATATGACTTTGTTGATTAAATTAACATAAAATAAATAAAACATTCCATTTTTTTTCCTTTTCCTTTTTCATTTGTAATCAAAATGTTAAAAGGTAAAAAAGAAAAATGGTAAAACTTATTGATTTTGCAGTTTATTACTCGTATTTTGCCCATAAAAAAATAATCTGAATTAAAGAAAAATTAAATGATTTTGAAAAAAAAAGGGAATAATTTCGACAACAAGGAGTGACGATTTTGAGAAACACACCAAGAAGATTGCAAAATCAATATTTTTTTTTTGTTCTGAGAAGCAATCACTTTATTGCAACACGAAATGACAAATATATAAAAAAAAATTATTGTTCATATTGACTGAGTATGTTTGTTTACTATGAATAGAATATAAATCTTTTCTTCAATTTTGGATTAAAATTTTATATGCATAAGTTTGAATTAATGAAAATCACTTTGATCTTTTTTTACTAAGTCTTTATAACATTTTTTATAATATTTTAATCCAAAATTAATTTTTTCAGATTAAAAACTTTCAAATAACGAAATAACTCCATTTTTATAACGGTTAATTATATGCTGAAAAAATTAAGAACAGATAAAACAAAAAAATTAAGAAGTATTTGACCCAAAGCCTGTCTAATAAGCATAAAATTATATCATTATTTTTTAGACTGGATCAATTTCAGCAATTAGAAATTCTTTCTTTTTCATTTCCAATATTGTGTACTTAATAAATACATTAAATGTTTAATTTTTTTGTTTATTTTAAAATTCAAGATATTAAAGGGATTATTTATCGAACTTAAGATAACATACAAATCAATATGTTCATTTTCTAATATTTCCCAAAAAAAAATTCAGCGATGATAATTTCTCGGTCTTAAAAGAATGAGACGAGGGAATGTTCGGGATTTAGTATCTTCTCTCGTGTATTCCACGTCCTTCAGAATAATAAAAAACTGAACAACCAGCCGGCATTCTGTCATTTTCGCATGATATATATCATAATGAATAACATAATATGCACAGATAAAGAATTTAAATTGTCAATTTGAAGTTCAAATTAATTAGGAAAACAATTTAATCCCGCTTTTAATTATAACAATCTTTTACCATTGTATAAATTCCGCCCCAAAACTCACTAATTTAAAATAGTAGATGTAAGCGAGTAGTACTGCGCAAAAAAACCCCTATAAATTAACTATAATTTTTTAAAATTTCAAATTTTTTGATCAAATGAGATAATGCGTGGCTTTTCAGGCTAATAATTAAGTTGTATCAGAATGCAAGTTAAAATCAATCACTTCAAAATCGGATCATATAACAATAATATCAATAACTTAAAAGATCCCTTCAGTAATTCTCGCTTTAGCAACTGATGCTTGTTTTTCAGCTATAGTTTTATAGAGTAGAAGAAGTTTAATTTAAAAATACTGCTAATGGATTAGGCAAATTTAACAACAAAAATCACAAATAAAGATTGCTTACAAATGCAATCGAATTATCTATTTTCTGAACAAAATTTTAACCAAATTTTAAATAACCGTTCAAAAATTGAATCGTATTTCGCACGAAGAAATATATCCATTACACAAAATATTAACAAGGAAAAAAAGAAGAAGGCAAAATTCCATTTTAAAATTAATTGACCATGAAGAAATTTAGTTGAACTTGTTTTTTCGCAAAAAAAATTATCGTTCAATTTTCGTTATCATTCTTTCTTGGCATTTTATAATCAACTGAAGATGAAATTACTCATGCAATTTAAATTAATTATTAACTAATTAATTATTAACATACCGCTCTCATTAATGAACCGCTAAATAGAACTTTTCTCGAACAATATTATATAAATGTTATTTGAAAATAAAAATCAATCAATTCGATAAAACAAAGAAAATTTATTCCATTTAAAAAAATTTTTGAAAAAAAATTTTTTTTTTCTTTTGCATCGATCAAACATTGTTGTCAAATCGTAATAATGTATGATCAATTTCCATAGTAAACATCACACTTCGTAATGATCTTATGAACTTTCAAAGGTCAAAGCTCTATACCATCAAATTTATTCGTCAGAAAAATTTCAAAAAAATCTCTTTTCATAGTATAATTTTGAGCGAATTTATATTTTTCATAAATATGTTAGAAGTGTTGATTACTTGAAAATTTGTTGTTATTTTGATTGAATGAAAACGAAATAAATTTCTAATGACATTAAAGCACTCAAGAATTCAATTCATTCTTGTCTAATGAAATGAAAAAAAGAAAAAAAAAGGACGACAAGTGATGTAGAGAAAAATTAATTATCGATTTTGGAATTCAGTTGATAAGTTATTCAAATTGCATAAATCATTTCAGTACATCATAACAGCTCAAAGATTTTTTTCATTCATTCTTGTTTTTTTTTTTTCTCCATTCTACTTTTTTTTCGTTTTTTTCAATTCCTCCTCTAAAAATTCAACTTTTAATATATTGATCTCATTCGACAAATTATTGATATTTATCTTAAAACTTTTGCAATTTTTATAAACTTCAAAAAAAGAATAAAATAAAGCAAATAACTTACTGAGTAGAGCAATATTGCATTTATCAGCATCAAATGAAATACCCATTTGAGAGAATATAATTTCAGGTGGTCCCTGAAGACGTGCCTCAATAAATAATACAGGCAATGAACCGGATAAACTGTTTATTGGTAGCAGTGACATTTTTCCCTGAGCGCACAGTATCAGAAATAAAATGAATTTTTCAATTCAAAGATTCATAAGTATAGGCGTTAAAATTGTTGTTAATTGAAAATAAGATAATATACAATGCCGAATGTGTGGCAATGTCTCTTACAATACAGTTTGGTGTCACTCATTCCTGTCGCTTCACTAAAATATTTTACATTACGTTATACAGCCTATGATAAATGATTAATTGAGAAATATGAAATATTTTAATTTCAACTGATACCATTTGTTCTTCTGCTCTATACATATTTTTTAACAATCCACAAAAAAATAAGTGATTAAAATTGGGAAACATTTAAAGAGATACTGGAAAGGTGTTAATTCTCCTTTTTTTTTATTATTTGTAAAAGAGAAAAATGTTGATTGAAATTTAGAATAAAAAAAAAAATGAATATTTAATAAAAGAACTGTTGACTCTATAGCTTATGGATGGATACCGCATATGATTAGTATTAATGATTGGAATATATTATTGTTTACACGTGAGATAATGAATAATCACGTATGTAACATATGCTCCAACGAATAATAGCGTATGTAGCAATAAGTAATCACAATAAGTAATCACGTAATAATAAGTAATCACATGTGCAACAACGAATAATCACGCATGCAATGATGAATAATCGCGCGCGTAACAATGAGTAATCACCAATGGTAAATAATCATGTGTGCAACAACGAATAATTACGTACGTATGCAAAAATGAACAATCAGGTACGTAATAATGAATAATAGTTTTAAATGACAAAAAAAGCAAGCGCATTCATATTGTTCATATTATAATTCATATTATATATGAATTTACCCACATATGTGAGCATTTGCTACGTAAAAGATATTAGTAATAGACGGAAAAAGTCAATTACGCTGCGTTTGAATATAAAAATAATTGATTTAATATTTGATAAATCAATTCAAAAAAAAATTCAAATCTCAACAAAACAATTTCAGATTGGTCAGTATTGTGTTGCGTAATGTGGTACGTGATTATGAAGGTTATGAAATGAAATTAATATGAGATTAAAAAGCTCAAAGATCAAATAGATATTTCAAGCATCCAATAGCAATTATTTATTTTCCCAACGGCATATCGAAATTTCTCTGGAAAATAAATGGATATCTATTCTTTCCGTAAATATCTCTTGAAAAGTAAATAAGAATTTATTTCATGTAATCGTCATGAAAGTTGAAATAATGCAAAAAAAAAAAATGTAAACACTGCAATGATTCATCATCAAAATTAAAGGCTCACTTCTTCCGTCCCTCCTTATTTGCTTTTCTTTTCTCTCTCTCTCTCTCCTTTCCATTCCTCTTCCTCTCTCTTCTCTTTTATGGTAACATAAAAGTAAAACAAAGTTTAATGAGATGCAATTAATAGAATATACCAATCAAACATTACGAATATTACTAAACTTTATCCTGATTTTCTTCTAATGAAACTAATAAATAAAATTTGAGCATTTCATTCACTATTATTGCATAAGCAAGAATTAAATAATATTTAACATGTTATCTAATCCAAAAAAAAAAAAAATATCACATAAAATATGAAATGCACTTCAATAAAACTACAATTGCATCATTTAAAGTTAACTTATTAGGAAGTTTTATTAAAATTTGAAAATATTGAAAAACAAAAGAATACACTCAAATATCATACAAAATGTGATGAATGAATAATTTTAAAACAAGTCCTATACACCATTCATAATGAAATGAATGAACCAACAATTATTGATGGCGGTGATGTCTATGAATTGAATTGTTTACATCATCACAGTTGCTCCACAATATCGCACATACGCAAACACATACGCTGGCAAAATTTACAAACGACGAAATTTCAATAAAATTTGAACAACGATGAGCGAAAAATGAATTTCCTGATAACCTTGAAATAATTCATGAAATTTTGTGCATTTTTCACTTAACTGAAGAAATGTCACAAATTCAATTAATATGATGCACATCATTTTTCACATTTCATATGTTTTGTAATTGATAACACGGAAATAATGAATTTCACTAATTACACATTCTATCGGATCACTGTGGTGACACTTTTGTTAATCAAAAATATCCTCAAATGATAATTTTCTTCATCAAATATAGCTTGTTATCTAATAATAAAGACTAGTAAAAGTAGATGCGAAATTAATAGTAATTAACTGACGTATCGATTAGTTAACATATGAATGACATATCTAAATAATAAGCATTAATTAATGTAATTGATGTAAGCCTTGGCACATGAGTATTCATTAGAAATGAAATATTAATTGCAGCAACTCATCGTTTCTTCCAGTAATATATTCTTCTAACAAATTAGAATCATTAAAATTCAATAGCGCATATTGAATCAATATATTTTCTTTATCCAAAAAAAAAAATTACCAACAAAAAAAATTCATAATTTTTGCCAAAATTGAAGCATTTAAAAAAATTGGAATTTTCGAAAAAAAGAGGAAAACACATATTTATATCCATTGGTACTTCAAGGCAAAAATCGACTTCAAATTCAACACATTTCTTTAACTTTTATTATATTGACTTCTTTTAAAATATTCATTCATTCATTTAGTATTAAGAAGTAAGAAAAAACATTTTAGAAATGAATCAGTTTATTTAAATTTGCAGTTTTATGCAAAACAAAAACCACTATTAATCATTAGCATTTAAAAATTTGTTTCAATATAAGCACGTGCGTACTACAATATCATGCAGTAAATTTTATATGAATATAAAGTTTTGAAGAAAAAAAAGGAAAGAAAATAAGGGAGCTCAAAAAATTGTCGAAAATTTTAATGTTCGTCAATTCTTTATCACTTATTGCATCGTTTCATACATTAAATTCAACATGTTCTTCTTTTAGATTAAAATTAAACTCTTTTCTTTGTTGTTTTTATTCAAAAATATTGAGAAAAAAAAAGTTTGTAGAAATTTATTGCAAAGGTTTGAGTAAAAAAATCAAAATAGATCGAAGTAAAAGAGGAGGAAAGAAGAGTAGAACGTGAAATGTTGGAGTGAAAGAATGCTATGCCATCTTCTGGAAGTGCTTTTGCCAGCTACAAGTACTACTCGCAGTCGGACATGTAACAAATCGATGCCGCCCGGCATTTTATTAAAACAGCCATAAGTAATCTTGCATCAATATTTGCAAAAAAAAAAAACTAGCATTACTACTACTAAAATACTAAAATATTGATGTAAGCTTCGGTTTGGAAAGTATTGAAATAGAATAGAACATCCCAGATTTCCAAGTCCAATAGATTATGATTCATGACTTTATAATTTGTAGTTATAAAATGGAATATAGTTGGAGAGGAAATGGGATACTATATTGTAAATATACTGTCGTAAAATAGCAAACGAAATCGCAATATAATTCCACTGAAATTCTCCAGCATTAGTCTGTTTCACTCATCCAATGAGATATCGGCATAACCATAACCAGTAATGAAATGCTTATCACTAAGACTAAGCTACACCACTTCGAATAATGCACATATGATACTCGTGGAGATCGTTTTATTGTTTTGAAAACTGTATATAAAATAAATATCACCTATCAAACATCTCATTACCAAAAAACGCTTCAAATGAGGTGTCAAGTCCTTTATTTGTTCAAACAAGAAATCATTTGCTCAGACTCATCTAAACTTTTTCCATGAAAAAAATCCCATTAATTTAATTGAAATATCACAACGCGAAAATGACGAGCAGTTTCAGTAAAGATTTAAAATTCCAGTCTTAACAATTCAAAAAATTATCAAAAATCAATGAATCTTTTTTCGAAATTTTCAGAAAAAAAGGATTACAAATATGAGCATCTAAATACAAAAACAGTTTTTCGAAAAGGAATCACTGATTTTCGATAATGTCTAATTTACATATCTAACAAATCGATGTACTGCTTTTCCCACAAACTTTATATTCTTTTCAAAATACTGCCATAAAATTCTCTCGCAGATCTTTAAAACAATGTCCACTTTGTACAGCAGATGCACACTACAGTACACGAAATGAAAGCATAAATGTCAATTTACAACTGTTTTTAAAATATGTACACGGTTTCCGAAAATGCCAATAAATCTTAAAATTTTCTATAGTGTCTCATATGCTAATATTTTAGTCTCATTGCGATCAGAACAATAACTTAACAATTTTAAATGCGACTATGAGATAGTAATAATATTAGTTATTTCGACGATTGCCTAAGGAAGAAGAGGCGCCTTGTAATTGCTTCATCATATTTTGTAAACCACCCATACCACCCATTTGCTGTAGCACCCGCGGATCCATCATTTTTGCCATTTGTTGATTGAGCTTTTGTAGTTGCGATGGGTTAATGTTTTTTGTATTCATATCACCGTTCTGCAACCAATAAGAAATTGTTAGTAAGCAGATAAGCACGCCAGCTAGATCAGAATAATTGTAACAAAATGAGATCAAGCAATTTTTCCAGAAAATGAAAAAAGATAAACAAATGCTTGATTTCATCGCATAATCTTGTATGATGAAGCTATGGTGAATTGCTTTGTCTAAGGAATATATTATGTGGTAATTTGTAA